TCGTCTATCGATTCTTTGATGATGTTCAACGAACCTACGCCGAGATACCCAGTGGTGCTCTTGGCACCTGGGGTTGTCCCGGCTCTCCCGGCGGACGGGTTCCTCTCCCTTCATTTGCCTGACAGATTCATTTGTCTCCCTTTGTCTCCCTTTATTTGGCCCCGGTTGTCTCCCAGCCTGGATGCCTGTCACGGCTCTCTGGGTGGACGGATTCGTTTGTCTCCCAGCTTGGATGTCTGGCACGGCTCTCCGGGCGGACGGGTTCATTTGTCTCCCTTTGTCTCCTTCTTGTTGTCCCCCAGCCTGGATGCCTGGCACGGCTCCCTGGTCATTCGCGGTGTATTCCGCGGGCACGCATGTGTGTTTGAGGCTCAGAAACGTGTGTTTGAGCGCGCGCGTGCGCTTGATCAAGCCACAGGCAGCATGCTGCGGATGCACGTACGAGTGCTTCAAGTAAATGATTGTGTGTTCTTGGTGTGTTCCAGCTGACCACATCGGCGCGTTCCAAGTGAACACGCACTTTTTGCATGTGACCACATGAGTGTGTTCCACGTCAGCACATGTTTGTGTTCCAGGTGAAAGCATGCGATTGTTCTGATAAAACACATATGCGATCCGGTCAAAATTCCTAGTAAGGGGGTTTAGTCTACAGAGGCCACCGTCGCAGTCACTTTGTGCAGTTTTTCATTCACACAAAGCGGAGTCCTGCAAATACCAATGAATTGCCCGCTCCCCACTGGAGGCGCTAGGATGGCGCTTGGTTTGCGCTAGGGTCTTCGGTGATCTTGGTTTCCAAGAGTTGGCGCGTGGGTTGCCGCGATGGGCTTTGCGTGGCTTTCAAGGGTGTAATGTTGCAGTTCTTACTTAGTACTTGAAGCCAGCCCGCACGTTTACCTTCATCTTACGTGGCCTTAATTTGTCAAATCCACACAGATGGTCGCCGTGACTCCAAAAAATACGGCGAACCCGCGCTAGCCGCGCGCTAGCAAGGCGCTAGCGCAGTGGTCAGCTGTGACCGGTTCCCAGTTACGCTTCAATCCAAATTTGCTTCCGCTCTCCTCGCATGCAATTATCATGGAGTGCGATTTGCTGGACAAAGGGGAGAAACAACGGCTGAGGCAAGACGGCAGGGATGCCTTGTACCGAGCATACGGAAGAATTGGGTTGCGTACTTCCCTGCGAAAGCAAATGCTTTACTGAATCGATACGAAGAGTTGCCACAATACGATCAAAGCACTTTAGCAATCGATACGAAAGACACTGTGCAGCTAAGCGAGAAAGAAGCGCAATGCGCCGGAAAGCTTTTGCTAAGCTGAAGCCTGTAACTGCTGGAGACGCATCCGATACTGATAGTACTAGCAGTAGTAGCAGCAGCAGCAGCAGGCTCGCGCGCTAGCAATGTGTTGCAAAAAAGCTAGATTGATCGTACACGAACACTATTTTCCTACTTGGAACACGCATATAAAACACAAGCGTTGTTCAAGGCAGAGCCCCATGGAATAGCGCCTCACAGCCGGCTTCGGGAACTTGATTTATGTGTCGCCCAGGCGTGCAGGAAATGTAAATTCCATGTGAACACATTTTTGTTGTCCAGGTGAACGCATGTGTGTTGCACATTTGTGTTGCACATGTTTCTCCACATGTGCACACACGTGTGTTCCATGTGTACACATATGTGTGTTACAAGTCAACACAGAAGTTTGTTCTGGTTAAACATGCTTGTGTGATCCAGGTCTGCACCAGTGTCGCACGTGAACACAAATGCCTGTTCCAAGTGAGCGCATATATGGGTTCCAGGTGAACACATATGTGTGTTGCAGGTGAACAGAAATGTGCTTTCCAGACATACACACATATGTGTTCCAGGTGTACGCATGTGTGTGTGCGTGTTCCGGGCGCGCATATATATATATGTATATATATATATATATGTGTGTGTGTGTTCGCGTGTGCACATATGTGTGTTCCACATTTACACATATGTGCGTTCACGTGCGCACATATGCGTGTTGCACGTGTACACATATGTGTGTTCACGTGTACACACATGTGTGTTCTTATCAGACACGTGTATGTGTTCCAGGAGAACACATGTTTGTTATCAGATGAACACGTGCGTGTGTGTCTGCTCCGCGTGCACTTTTTTTGTATGTGTGTTCACGTGCACACATTGTGTGTTCACGCGTGCGCACATGTGCGTTCCAACTGGACACGTGTTTGTGTTCCAGGAGGACACATGTTTGTTATCAGATGAACACGTGTGTGTGTGTGTCTGCTCCGCATGCGCATGTGTGTGTGTTCATTTGCACACATATGTGTGTTCCACGTGCACACATTTGTGTGTTCACGTGTCCACACATGTGTGTTCCAATTGGACACGTGTTTGTGTTTCAGGTGAATACATGTTTGTTTTCAGATGAACGCACGTGTGTGTGTGTTCCGGGTGCGCATATATATGTGTGTGTTCACGTGTACACATATGTGTGTTCACGTGTACACACGTCTGTGTTCCAATTAGACACACGGTTGTGTTCCAGGAGAACACGTGTTTGTTATCAGATGAACACTCGTGTGTGTCTGTGTTTTCCGCGCGCGCATAAATGTGTGTGTTCACATGTGCAGTACACATGTGTGTGTTCCACGTGTGCTGTGTTCACGTGTACACATATGTGTGTTCACGTGTACACACGTCTGTGTTCCAATTAGACACACGGTTGTGTTCCAGGAGAACACGTGTTTGTTATCAGATGAACACTCGTGTGTGTCTGTGTTTTCCGCGCGCGCATAAATGTGTGTGTTCACATGTGCAGTACACATGTGTGTGTTGCACGTGTGCACATGTGTGTGTTCACGTGTGCGCATTTGCGTCTCCCACGTGTACACATATGTGTGTTCACGTGTACACACATGTGTGTTCCAATGGACACGTGTTTGTGTTCCAGGTGAACACATGTTTGTTTTCAGATGAACACTCGTGTGTGTGTGTGTGTGTTCCGGGTGCGCGTATATATGTGTGTGTTCACGTGTACACATATGTGTGTTCACGTGTACACACGTCTGTGTTCCAATTAGACACACGGTTGTGTTCCAGGAGAACACATGTTTGTTATCAGATGAACACGTGCGTGTGTGTCTGCCCGCGTGCACTTTTTTTGTATGTGTGTTTTCACGTGCACACATTGTGTGTTCACGCGTGTGACATGTGCGTTCCAACTGGACACGTGTTTGTGTTCCAGGAGGACACATGTTTGTTATCAGATGAACGCGTGTGTGTGTGTGTGTGTCTGCTCCGCGTGCGCATGTATGTGTGTTCATTTGCACACATATGTGTGTTCCACATGTACACATTTGTGAGTTCATGTGTCCACACATGTTTGTTCCAATTGGACACGTATTTGTGTTTCAGGTGAATACATGTTTGTTTTCAGATGAACGCACGTGTGTGTGTGTGTTCCGGGTGCGCATATATATATATATATAAAATACACACATATGTGTGTTCACGTGTACACACGTATGTGTTCCAATTAGACACACGGTTGTGTTCCAGGAGACCACGTGTTTGTTATCAGATGAACACTCGTGTGTGTCTGTGTTTTCCGCGCGCGCATAAATGTGTGTGTTCACATGTGCAGCACACATGTGTGTGTTCCACGTGTGCACATGTGTGTGTGTTCACGTGTGCGCATTTGCGTCTCCCACGTGTACACATATGTGTGTTCACGTGTACACACATGCGTGTACCAATTGGACACGTGTTTGTGTTCCAGGAGAACACATGGTTGTTATCAGATGAGCACACGGGTGTGTGTTCCGGGTGCACATATATGTGAGTGTTCACGTCTGCACATATGCGTGTTCACGTGTGCACATATGTGTGTTCCACGTGTACGCACATGTGTGTTCCAATTGGACACGTGTTTGTGTTCCAGGTGAACAGATGTGTGTTTCACGTGAACACATTAGCATGTGCTAGATGAACTTTTTTTGGCATCTGACGACATATTTGCTCTCCAGGTGTGCACATGTATGCGCTCCAGAAAACGCAGGATTGTTTTCGAGGTGCGCGCATGTGTGTGCGATTTAGGTGAGCATTTATGTTTGCTCACGTGTGCGCATATGTGTGTTCCACATGTACACACATGTGTGCTTTAATCGCACACGCGGTGTTCCAGGTGGACACATGTTTGTGTTCAAGTGGTATACATATGTGTGTCCCACGCGTACACACATGTGTGCTTTAATTGCGCGTCTTTGTGTTCCAGGTGAACGCATGTGTGTTCCACGTGTACACACATGTGTGTCTGAATTGTACACGCGTTTCATTGTGTTCCAAGTGAACACACATGTGTGTTCCACGTGAACGCATTAGCGTGTCGTAAGTGAACACATATGTGCGTTCCACGTTTGCACATGTGTGTGTGTGCTTTCCAAGAAGCACATGTTTGTTTTCCAGCTCAACTCATTTATGCGTGTGCCGCAGGTGAATGTATACTGTTTCAGTCGTATACGTATGTGTGTTCCACGTGTACACACATGTGTGTCTGAATTGGACATGTGTGTTTGAACTGCCCATGTGACTGCGTGCTTGCGCGGCCACACTTGCGTTCACGCGCGCGCGCTCGCCCGCCATCGCGCGCGCTTGCCCAACCTCAGTTCTGGCGCGGTGCTGAAGCGCGAAGCACGCCAGCAACACACGTGCAGCAACGCAACGCGCGCCAGGTTCACGACTGCATCATTTTGATTCATCCGTGTTGAAGCGCAGAAAGCCACAAGCTGTTGGCATGTTTGTGCTCGCCCGTCAGCCCTCAACTGTTTGGGGTCTCTGCTGGTGTAATTTAGAGGGTGCCTCTTCACCCTGGTCCAAAGGGAACCCACAAGAAAGACCCAAAGAGAAACCAAAAGGCAAGCCTAAAGGACAGACCAACAGGAAACGCCAAAAGAGAAACCCAAAAGGGACATCAAGAACGCAGACACCAACAAAGACCTCGTGTTTTCTTCTAAAGTCCAATCTTGAGATCCAAATGCCAGGCCTGGCTAATGCTGTAGTCCTGGTGAGGCGGAGTGTTTTTTTTCCCATGGCTGGGTGCTCGTGCGTGTGGGAACTAAGTCTCAGAGGTTTTGGGATCAACAGTTTGTGTTCTCCATCAGGGCTTTGGGAATGAAGCAATGGCTCAGCAAGAAAACGGTGAACAGATTGACAAGCTTGGGTCGATGTGTGAAGTGTCCCCTGCCTATTGAAGCAGGTATGAATTTGGATTCGGGGGCATGGTCATGGCGCCTTGTCAGGAATCTCAATAGTTGTAAACAAATCTTAAGGGGCCGTCATATCTTGAATTGGTGGGCTTTATCTCACCTCACAAGGGTTTGTCTCCACCCGCCATGTTTGAGGGTGCTCCTCATTGAATTGTTGTGACCGTACAAGTGACATCAAAATGGGCAGTTTGACACACACACACACACACACAAAGCAGAGAGTAACGTCAAGAAAGACACGCCCAAGTTGAGGTCAGAGTTGAACAATTTCCTTGGAACAGTATTTCAACATCGTGCAAGCGCCGATGGATTCAGACCCGGGGACAGGCCGTTGCATGGCTCTTTGTGGTTGGTCTTGCTCAAAGGCGAATCGCCATTTTATCTGTGGGGACTGCTGGCCTCTGTTTCGACGCCAACCACAACTAGGTCCGGGAGGATTTGAAGGGCCGACAAGCCGCTCAAGAAAGGTCAACCCCGGGTAGACCAACTCTCTAAACGAGCTACGGACCCCTTCAAGTATGTTTGGCTTCATGTTGGAGGCGAGCCAATCAAACAACTTATCCCGATGCTCTTTCCTTTTGCAGAATCTTTCAAGCATGGGTTCGGTTCAGCCCATAATGAGCTGAAAACATCTGCGCTGAGATTTGGACTCTTCAAGTCCAACTGTCTCTTGGTTCTCTCTTCCCTCTCAAGTAATTTGTGTTTTCTTTTCTAATGGCTTTTGAAGGTACCTTTTGTTGGAACCGAAGGTACCGAACACTTTCAGCCCATGGGCTCCGCATCAGCAACCGTCAGCAACCGTCCCGGTTTCAGCGGCTCGCACGGCTAACTTGGCTCCTCCATGAGCGGCAATCCGAAGCTCATCTCCGGGCTGTCATTGGACCTCCTCACAGCCGGGAGTCCTTTTTCAGACCTTCTTTTGGTCGGTTTTCAAAGGGAAACAAAACGGAGCTGGAAACAAAAAAACAAAAGGGACACCAACCATTTAAGATCATTTTACGTCCTCCTACTTTAAGACACGCCCAGCTCTGGCTCATCTCCACAAATGGGGTCCGCGAATTTAGCCAATCATTTCCTGCGGGGGGTTCAAAGGAAGAGGAAATATCCTTTTTGGTCTGATCCATCCAACCAGTTCAGCACTCTAGGCCGTTTTTTGAGTAATTACACCTTTTCAGATTGTTTGAGGGCCATCAAAAAGAAAAACAATTACACCGGCATAGACCCCAGATAGCAATGATTGCACACCAGCACCTCCAACAGCACCCCCCGAAGAGCCCGGCCGTCAATCGAGCACCCGCGCCATCACTAGCACCTCCAACAGCACCGCAAACAGAATCCCAAAACAGCACCTGCAGCGGCACCCCAAACTGCATGCCCCCTGCACCCTGCCGTCAATCTCGCAAAAAAGCGCCTGCACCGTCACCCTAAGAGCACCCAGCTGCACCAGCACCCCAAGCTGCATGCCCCCTTGCACCCTACCGTCAAGATGCAAAAATGTGCCTGCACCGTCACCTGCATGCCCGATAGCACCCGGGCGTCAATATCGCAAATTGCGCCCGCACCGTCACCAGCACCTCAAACAGCTCCCCAAACTGCATCCCAAAAACACCACCCAAACTGCATGCCCCCGTGCACCCTACCGTCAAGATGCAAAAACACGCGTGCACCGTCACCCCCAAAACAGCACCTGCACCAGCACCCCCAAACTGCGTGCCCCGTAGCACCCTACCGTCAATCTTGAAAAGATGCGCCCGCACTGCCATCAGCACCAAACAGCACCCCAATCCGCCAAACCCAGCACCCCAAACTGCACGCCCCTTGGCACCAACCCATCAATCTCGCAAATCACTTCCCCCTCTTTATTAGAAGTTAGAACCCCTATAGCTTTCAGCTATCTGGGGAAATAGTGGTCCCCCAATATGCCCCCGGTTTCGACATCCAGGGTCCAAATAGGTTTCTTGCAGTGTCAGCACCCGCTGCTTGCGGCAAGTGATGTGCACAGGCCCGTGTTGGTGAGAGGCCAGCGCTTCTGGTTTTGAGTAAGGACCCTCAGCAGGCTCTTTGCAATGGTGGTCTCCAGCAAAAAACAAACGACCTCTTGCGAGTGTCTTTGGATGTCTTTGGGGAATCTTACAATTCTACAGCCAGCAGTCATGCCATTTAGCACTCCTGCGCAGCCCAAACCTGGAATCGTGCTTTGTTTTCACATCCAGGAATCCTTCGATAGCGATAGTACGAAGAAACACGGCAACCGACCATATGCAGGGTTCAAAAGCCCATACCCTTGAAGCGCCGGCTCGCTGAGTATCCTCATTGACGTCAGGTACTTTCAAGCCACCACAGAAGTGGTGCTTTCTTTACCGCACAAAATACGAACCGCACGGATCTCCTCTTCATGACACGAATGGCACTTTCTTCTGATTGGGACCCCTTCTTGATGCGCACGGCGAGCTAGGTCCTCCTGAGGTACCCTCCGGAGCGCTGCAGGCCACTTTTCATCTGGCAGGCCAAGCCGTCGGAAGGTTGCCCTTTGGGCGTGGTGTTCAAGATGGCGGGCTGAACAACCCCGTTTACTGCCTGGCCTTGTCTCTTACTGGTACGTAATAGGTGCACAACTTAGTCTAGTGCACCAATTGGAAATCAGGAATCGCCGTAAAGAAAACAAGCTGCACTTCTTCAACTAGCTGGAGTCGTGTTGCTTTGCCGGTAAAACCGTCTAGAAGAGATGACCTACTCTAGGAAGAAACGTAAAGCCGTGAACTTGTGGCGTAGTATAGAGCCTGAACAGACTGCAACATTCGTTTGGGTAGCTCGACCAGCTGGATTTGCAAATAGCCACCTCACCCGGCGGGGTCACAGGGTAAACCCTCAAAATAACGGAACTGGGTTGTCAGACCCGACAGCACCCCAGCAAAACCAGCAGCAATGGGGCACAGAAACATAGCATGAAACTATGCAACTAAACGAACGAGCCCCGCTGGTAGAAGCCTCCTTTTGCAGGAGCCCTCCATGTGTTCCGTGCCAATTTTCGGGCGGAGTGTGAGAAATCATGTTTGTTTAAGTTTGCTTGTTTGCTTGTTTGTCTGTCTGTTTGTTTGTTTGCTTGTTTGTAGCGAACTTTGGATGCTAGACAGAGTGAACCTGCATACGGTAGTGTCCCCCAACTGGTGAACAGCCCCAATTTCCGCGTTGTCCTTTGGTGAGTCTTCTGATATCATCCGTTCACAATAGTTTGGGATATGTGCTGATATATTTATTTACCAACTAAGCTATGAATAGTTGATGAAACTATTTCATCTCTCAACATGGTTGGGTCTCTCTTGGCTCAACAGCAGAAACAACAAACCGAAACCCACCAAAATAGGAGGGCCCCACTGTTTTCTACACATTTCCATATTAATTGTTGTAGCTGTCGGTGATCGGTTCCTCGTGTACCTCAACGTTGCGCTCCCAGTGCAAGGCGCGCCTCGAGGCCGTGACCCTGTGATCCGCATATTAATGGGGAACTCCAAGGGGTCAAAATTAACATCTGGATTGTGCTTCGACATGGGGTCACATTGTTTCAGGTTTTTCCCCCGGTTTTGTTTGTGTTTCTCCAGGCTGGCTTCTTGGCTGTCTTTGGCTTTCTACATCCTCAGCACCACCAGCAACACCACCAGAGTCACAACTCCCCCGCTTCTTTGTGGGGCCATGCTGAGCGAACCCAAGCTCGGTGGCTATTGCCCCACAAGTTTAGAGTTGTTGCCGGCCAGGACAAGACACATGTTCTCTCAGAAGTGAAAGGTGGAAGAGGCCAAACCCCATTGACAGCTAAGGGGCCACAAACACAACAGAAAACCAAAACCAACCAAGCCACCCGGATCTTCGCGTGTGGCGACCTTCCCCCGTCGCAAACGCCATGCCGGCCCCGCGGCCCAGTCCAGGATGGCACGGTCGCTCAGCTCGGTGTAGTTCCTCGGCTTGAAATCGTCGGAGCTTCACGTCGGAAGTTCGCCCCGGCTTCACGTCACTTAACATGGGATTCACAAAATATTAGCATGAAACTAACTAGGCCAACAATAATTGGAACCTCTTTGGAACCCGGAATCCCGCCACAATTCCTCCCAACTGTGACTGGGCGGTTTGACCCCATAGCTATAAATGTTTGGAAAGAAAACCACACAAAACACAAGGCCCTCGAGCGACGTTGTCTCAACATTAGGAGACACCCAAAAATGGTTGGTGCTATTGGTTTCCCATGGTTTCCCATGTGTTCCAACAACTCCTCATCAAACGAAGCGTTCGGTTTGGTCCGGAGGAAGACCTCGACGACCTGATGGGAGCCCGGGCTTGTTCTTGGCCAAGAATTGATCCACCCAATCGAAGGTGCCCTCGTCTGGCAAACCCACTGGCAACACCACCTGGTCACAACAAGCGCTCGCAGGAAGGCTTCATGCATTTGTGTGCGTGCGTGCGTGTGCGTGTGTGTGTGTTGTGTGTGTGTGTGTGGTGTGTGTGTGTGGTGTAGTGTGTGGTGTGTGGTGCGGTGTGGTGTGGTGTGCGGTGCGGTGCGGTGCGGTGCGGTGCGGTGCGGTGCGGTGCGGTGCGGTGCGGTGCGGTGTGGGTGGGTGGGCGGGCGGGCGGGCGTGTGTGTGTGTGTGTGTGTGTGTGTGTGTGTGTGTGTGTCTCTGTGTCTCTGTGTCTCTGTGTCTCTGTGTCTCTGTGTCTCTGTGTCTCTGTGTCTCTGTGTGTCTCTGTGTCTCTGTGTCTCTGTGTCTGTGTCTGTGTCTGTGTGTCTGTGTGTCTGTGTGTCTGTGTGTCTGTGTGTCTGTGTGTCTGTGTGTCTGTGTGTCTGTGTGTCTGTGTGTCTGTGTGTCTGTGTGTCTGTGTGTCTGTGTGTCTGTGTGTCTGTATGTATGTGTCTGTGTGTCCGTGTGTCTGTGTGTCTGTGTGTCTGTGTCTGTGTGTGTGTGTGTCGGTGTGTGTGTGTGTCTGGTGTGTGAGTGTGCGCGATGTTTTTTGCGTATTTGTGAGTTTGTGTGCGTGCGTGTGGGTTGCGTGAGTAGGTGGGTGGGTGCGTACGTGCGTGCATGGGTGTGGCTTGTGACCCTGTCACGAGTCACAACGAGCATGTCTTCGATGTTGAATGATGTTAAACACAGCTTTGACAGAACACCCTGTGGCACACAACTGGCATTGCCCCACACCTCATCCTATTTCGGGCACAGTTGGCTTTGTTGAGCTGATTCAAGGGAGTCGGGACCCGAAGCGAGTCGCTGCTTTGCCAATCTCCAATGTCCACCAAGACTATTGCAGCCATCCTAGCTCAGCTTTTGACCCCCAGCCAAACATAGAATGTCTGACTGATTGTGCTCCATATTTTTCAATCCTTCGCGAAAGGGATCCCACCACTCACAAATGTAGGCATTTCTTGCGCGAGGGCCCGTTGATCAGCCTCTTGGGCTCGCCATGCAAGCGAGTCCGCTTGGCCTTGCCTTTCAGATTTCCGCTTCTGGTTTCCACTTAACACAACCCCAAGAAGGGTTGCCCGGAAAAAAGACACACCCCTCTGGACAAACGTTGAATGCTGAATACCCCGCAGGCTTGAACAAGGCGATTTGCATCCAACAAATCTACCAGTGGCTATTGGAGATTTTGAGATAGCCTTCTCGGCTTCTCCCAAACCACGACACTAACTCACCCTACGTTCAGAAGAAACACCAAGCCCTCGCCTCGTATTTGCCGTCCTTGGGCTCCGCCGAAGGCTTCGCCTATGGCCAATGGATTTGCCGGATGCGAAACCCACTTGCCCTGAGGGTGGACCCCCTCGTCGATAATAAGGGCACCGTTGCCGTGGAACAGGTGCTTAACTTTCCACACATCCCGATCCAGGTAGGGAATAGGCAGTCTGGATAAGCACGCCTCTATCCCTTTGTTGTAGCCTTTGGGGGAACTGAGCACTTGTTTTAGCATGCAGCAATGAACCAAAGGCAATATTTTCCAAAACCGATAGGACTGATGCGTGGCGAAAGGAGCAAGAAGTTGATTGCGAACCTTATATGGGGTTCTTTCGGTGGCACTACTTTGAACAGCCCCTCATATATTCTGAGTCATAAGCAAAGCTCGGGACGAAGATAATGTGCCTAAAACAACGTACTTTAAGGAATCACGCCAGCAGCTGCCTCAATTTATAGCTTGGAACGTTTCTTGCTGACCTCCAATAGGGCAGATAGTGATTGCGGCTCACATGTGTTGAGTGCGAGCCAGGCAGCGCCAACATATGGATGATCAATTTACATTGCAGGGCGGCTTTCAAGAGAAAGAAGCAACAGGAAGGAAGACACAAATGAATAACAAGCATCAAGAAAGAAACACATCCAATGCAAATCAAAAATGTGCATGTAAGTAGACACCGTCACTATACGTGTTAATATATTGTATATAATATACATATAGCATGTCCTGCTCTTCTCACATCGCCGTGTCGGCACCTGCCTCGGCGTGCGCTTTGGCTGCCTGCGCCCAAGTGTGGCACTTGAAAGGTAGCGGCCTGGCGAATCTCACGGTACCCGTCCCGAATTTTGAGGGAAGCTGAGGAGGGGGTTGGTTTGTTTCATAAAATAGCATCCCAAGTTGGTTCTTGCTTGGGTAAGCTGGACATGCCTATTTAGCACCTAGCGATGCTTGTTGTTGAACATGTTTGATTGGGCTGTCCCAATTTCGGTTGCGGGGTGTCCCATTTTAGAGCGGAGCCGGAATAAAGCCACTAGGTTGATCAATCTGGATGGCCCAAGGGCCTCTTTTGTATTACCCCTCGAATCGCTGCCCCCCTAAGTGTGTTCCGCACTCAAACGGAAAGCTCCCCACATAAAGAAGGCCCAAAAATCCACCTCCAAGGGTCTCGGCTGATTGCAAGGGTTCTTCCCAAAAGGAAACTCAGCCGGTGTGCCATTTCCCAAAAGGAAACTCAGGGTCTCGGCTGAACACCACGACATGTTTCGAACTTTTTCTCGGGTGTAAGCTGATCAACAGCCAAACTAAAACAAAGAGCTTCCCTTTCAAAGGCGTACACAACCCCGTACATCTGGAAAGGGTCCTAGCTAGTTTTGATGCAAATACATATGGGTGCATCTGGAATCTAATTTTGAGGTACCCCCTTTTTGGTGGTTTCAAAGGAAAACCACAAGGAAAACCACCGCTTTGTTTTGTTTTGGTTGAGGGGGTGCCCCCAATAGAAGGACACACCCATGGTTTGGGTGAATTTCATTTCATCTGGGAGACTGTCTCCATCCTTCGATCAACAGCTCCAAGCTGCTTGTGAGCTGGTTCATTGCTTTAGTTGCTGCTTCTGGCTTATAGAACCATGCAATATAAATTGGAGCAGTTCACGACTGAACAAAGGTGAATGTGCGTGGTTCGCCCTCGGTGCCTTCTTTGTTGCGACGCATTTCTTCTGAGTGGCTGGGGTGGTTCTGTTTGGATTCCAAGAGTATGGGGCAACGCGGCAAGTGGGCCTATGGATTGGTCGTGCGGTTCAGCTCGGACTGCATTTTGTTCATCTATAGGATCCGAAGGTAAGAAGCGAGAAAGGTTAACCGGATCAATCTGGAGTCGGCAACAAGTAGCGCCCCACTTCATCGGCACAGGAAATACTACCCGTCATAGGCTTAAGCCAACACACCCTCCAAACGGCCTCCCGCTTTGCTTCGCAGCCCAAAATAAGCCACTCTGAGTCTTGAAAGGCCTATCTTGGGGTTTGGGATCCAAAGCAACATGTCAGCATGTCAGTGTTCTACATCAGGTGAGTCCGGTGAGCAGAATCAAAATGAGGAATCTTCCACACCAACCCATCCGCGGGCCACTCGGCAAATAGGTCTTTCTCAAAAGGGGTCTCCTAGTGTGGTTGGTTTCCCTTTGGTTCTTTGCATGCCAACCGAAAGGGGTCGGAAGCCCTTTTTGAGAACCTCAAGTGACTGAACATCTTCTTTTGCTCCATTGCAGCATCTCTTTGACAGGTCCTTGGCAGAATGGGAAAGCTCCATCATGTCCCTTTTAGGCTCTGGAAAACCCAGATCGCCTTGTTTGCTTCACTGTCTCCCAAGGTTCATGAATCCAGAACTTCAGAACAATTCCATAACTCAGGCGCCAATGGACTTGTACGAAAGGCTCGATGCTCTTGCCACGCCTCTGACTCAAGACTCATCCCTCATGACAAAAACGCCCCTGAAGTCAGGGACCCCGTAGGACCCCGTAGGAACCTTCGTGAAGTTTGCAAACGGAGGCAGAGGTGCATTTGTACAAATCCTTTGCACCGGGGGAGCAGCAAAGTAAAGCCCAGTGAAATGAATCAATTTCAAGAGTTGCTGGCAGCTGAACCGTCTGGCTTTGCCATTTGCTACAAGCCCTTGCACAAACCTATGTTGAGTTCAGCCAAGCTACCCAAGGATACCAATCTGCATCTTGCAATAAACTCCCCCATCCGCAACCCCATACTTAAAAACCCCTTCATGGGTGAGCTTAGCGCCCAAACCGGCGAGCTTGCAATTCTCACTTGCTGGATTCCCAAAACGCGTCCAAACTCTTGGTTTGCCACCAGAACGAACCCTCGTCACAACAAGTTCAATAACTCAGGGAACGATACTTTGCCCAAATATTGAGGTGTCCCTTTTCAAAACCAGCCTCAGCAGCGCTGGACTGAAGTTCACCTTGCGAAAACAAATGGCGCAGGTAACACGCTAGGCAGCCAGAAACTCTCCTCAGTTTGTCCCCTGTATCTCGATCCCGTGTTCTTGTAGCACCCTTTTAAACCAAAGAAGGCGAACACTGCACTCGTTCTGACCTTCTCCCTCAAGATGAGTTGCTGCTGTTTGATGCAAATAAAAGATTGGACTGGATTGAAAGTCAGCAAACATCTTCAACAGCAGTTCTTCATGTTCTTGAAGTCTCCAGAACAGGGAAGTTGCCAAATGTTTGGCGTAACATCTTGTAAATCCTGCACACCTCCAACCGCACGCCTCTCTCCAGCCCAAAAACACCACTCCCGGTATGTCGCGCTTACACGCAACTCCACTTCAAGGAAAATCCTTATAAAAAGGAACAAAATGGTGATATTCAAAACCTTACGGAAAATAATAATAATAATAAAGCGGCCCTTCTTTTCTTAGGATTCCTAGACTGCAAAGAACCACCACACCAAACATGAATAACAGGAAGAACCACAGCTGACTAGGCCAGCCCCCACAACATGTTGTTTCTACCTTTACTTGCGTGGGACACCCCCCCCCTAGGAGCGGTTTGCTTTGGCTTCAGCGTCGGCGCCTGCAAGGTGACGTTGCGGAAGGTCACCGAGGGAAAGAGCGCCTGACGGACACGACTGGTCACTGGTTTAAATACCCAGCACTGTGATTCCTTGTGCCCTGTATAAATGCCTCCTATAGTGGCACAACTTCGATCCACTTGGTGTCCAGCAATTTGTGCTTGGAAAATTGCAAAGTACTCAGCGGACTCCAAAGAGGATCAATCACATAAAGGTTGACTTTGAACAGCCGCGTGATAGGTGTTCGGTTGCATCTGGTTTGAGGAGCTGGGGGTTCACATTCCTAAAATCGCCAAGGGAGAAGCGGGACCCGCCCGTTTTGCCAGGTCATATTGAGAAGCGCGAACTGGAATCCGCGGAGTCGTCCGGCGGAGGCGTCACGTGCGCCCGGAAGCTGCGACAGCTCAGTGGCGCAGAGTCGTGTTGAAGCCCAAGACTCTCCTGTACATTCCTGTACCGTATGCCTCTAGTAGCCAAGCACCCACACGGCAGTGGTGAAAAGAGTAGCAAGGCATAGCAAGGCTGGCACAAAATCACTTCCAGTTGCTCCCGAGCCCAGGCCTGGTACTGAGACATTCAGGAGCCCACCAAAATCCCACCCCCAAGCTGAAAAGTGTGGTTTTTTCGCGTCTTTGGATCCTTTTGCTCACTCCAGAGATACATTTCGGCCCACCCAGGCCCGGAGCTCTGGGTCCACGAAGCCACGGAAGGCCTGCATGTGGCTTTCGCTCTCGGGCCCGAAGTGCGTGGCGGTGTAGCCGCTGAAGACCCCCCGGGTCTCGAACTCGTAGTACATGGCGTAGCGGTCTCTGTGGCCGTGATGCTCAATGCCCCGGTGCTCACAGAAGGAGTCGTAGAGCACCACCGAGCCCAGGGGAGGGTTGGCCACCACCTCGAAGCCGGGCGTCAGCATGCGATGAGATCCCGGGACATAGGCCAGAGGGCCATTGTTCGCCTCGAGCGGCGTCAGCGCCACCTGCGCGGTCACCTGCGCCGCCGGACCCGGGAAGTTGATATCCCTGTGGTGCTTCTGCGGCTCCGCGCCTGGCGGCGTGTGAATGAGGGAGATGCGGCCGAAGAACGGCCCGGTCTCGTCCTGAGTACCCACATCGCTGCAGCCCGGCGGGGGAGTTTCCAGCAACTGCCCAGGCTTTGGGCCACAGAGCTCGAACCACTCCAGGTGCGCTCCTGAGGTGAGCCATTGAACCAAGCTCCACTGCTGCTCCTCCTGCGTTCGGCCGGCTGCCAAGTTGTTGTTCATGTAGCCGGCAATCACCTCCAGAACCAGCTCATTCTTCAATAGCCAGTCGCTCGCCCAGGGCGCGGTAAAGGACAGGTGGCCCTCTGTTCGCCCTGCACGGAGAGGCTGCGGGATGAGCCCCGGCTGCGGCAGCGACAGGAACGACTGCGCCTCCGCTTCCAGCTTCCTCACCCACTCCTGCGGCAGCAGACTCTCCAAGACCACGAAGCCATTGTCGCGCATCCGCCGCAAGGCTTCCCGCGCCAGGCGCCGCCTCTCTGCTTCATGGGCGTCTTCGAAGCCCAGACACGGAACCACAAACTGAGCCGCCGCCGGCGAGGCGCAGGGGCCGTGGGTGTAGAGCTTCGGCCGCTTCGGGGTGCTTTCATTGGCGGCGCCCCCGTCGCCGAAGGGCTTCAGACCCAAGCGATCCGCCTCCTCCGGGGACATGGTGACCCCCACCTCAAAACCAGCCTCATTCACCAGTTGCCGTGCCACTGCAGGCTGCCGGCCTCTCCCAAAAGGCGCCGTGAAGGTCCTCCAGAAGGGTAATCCAGCACGCGGAATCATGGCCGTGCATACACCTGCACACAGCATCCGGAAACATCTTCGCGGGATATTACGTCGGAATGCCCGCAAAGGCGAAGCCATGGCAAGCATCGCTGTGATCTTAAGCCGCCAAAGATTCGACACATACTGATCACATTGGGTCGGGGACCAATCGGACAAGCACAAGACGGGGGCAAAGTCTAGCGACTACTGAACAAGCTACGCAAACCACTGAACCACTCGGTTAAAAAGTGGGGACCCTTTTTGAAGAGTCCTGAGATGAATAAACATGCAGGATGAATAAACATGCAGGTGTTTTGTCCAATGGTGTTGAGGAAAGTCATATTTCAACTAGCCCTGATATTCGCAACAGAAAGCCCCATAACCCTCCTGGAACACTTCGCTCGCCGCTCTGAGCGCCGGATCATCTGGGCCCATCGACCCGTAGCTTCCAGCTGTCAATGAATTTTCGCCAGGGACCCTTTGGACATCAAAACTTGCAGGGGATTCATGTCCACCAACCATGTGCACCTGGCTGTGGCTCAAAAAATGGGGGTCCAAAATGGGAACCTAGGTAAATAGAAAGGTAGGCAAAACCTGCAAACCTGCATCACCCCAGCTGTTCTTATTTATTGCGCCACCCACTTAGGAGGTTCGTTAACCCAAATTCACATGACGAAACCCCCTTGTGCCTTGCCCTTCAAGGACTCTGGCAGCGGCTGTGGCCTCCCACGGCGCCCAACACCCGACCGTCGTTCTACCATGGGAGGCTTTTTTACAGGCCACCCCAGCCACTCATGTGGAACCACCTACTCCGGAAAAAGAAGAAGAAGAAGAAGAAGAAGAAGAAGAAGAAGAAGAAGAAGAAGAAGAAGAAGTGTGTGGAACACAAAACTAGGGTCCAACAGTATGCAGCGTGACCCATAGTCTAAACTGCAAAAAAGGACGCAAAGCCCGTCCTGGTCGAAATAGACTCAAGCATTGATAATTTCTGTTCGAAGAAACTCACACCCAAGGGCCACTTGAACGTCACCGATCAGTTTTGTCAGCTCCTGTTCACAGGAAATTTAGTAGGAACCATGGCAGGAAGTACTCATGGTTGGCCAGGCCTTTTGACATGAATGACAGGAAAGCAAAAAGGTCAGGCCAATTCGCTTTGGAGACCCAAGGATTAAGGCAAATTACGCAATTGTCATTTACTGGTTGCAAGAAACAGGCCATGGGGAACGCCCTTAGCTGATTTCTGGTTGAAAGGTAAACCAAAACAGAAACCGCACCAATGCACATCTTTGGTGTTGACTTGAAAAACACAGGGCCAAGTCGGCAGAAGTCAACCGCCGGCACTGTGACACTTTCTGAGCTGCACGCTCTGAGGCACGTCGGCCATCCACAAAAAGACTCACAGTGTTGGCCTCAGCAAAGGATTTGCTCGGCTCTACCCAAAGGTGGGCTTGGACTTTTCACAGGGTCACCTCACTTGGCCCAATGAGCTGGAAAGAAGAGGTGATCATCCTTTTGAACCCAGACAACACTGGACCAACATGGGAAAACCAACAGGTAAAAGGTGGGCTTTGGACAAGTAAGTCGATGAACCAAGGCTTCGAACGTGTCCAATGCGGCGCGTCGCAAAGGCAATCCAAATGCGAATCCCGAATTGAGCGGACCCAAATTCATCCAGGGCAACACTCAGGCAAAACACGTGGGAACGCCATACTGAGAAGCACAACAAGCCAAAATTGGTGAAAGGTCGCCTTTTGACTAGTGAACATGAATTTGGCATGTTTTGAAAGTAAGAACGGTGAATTCCCATTCTCTGCACCCCCGAATGGCTTTTCGGAAGCTGCCCTTGTTCTTTTGAAAGGCCTCATCACTTCCGAACATGTGTCCCCGATACCCAAGCTAGGAAGGGAACGAGCCGATACTCAAGCCGCTCGGTTCATGGGCTGAGGTTTGCCGAGGTTCTTGCTGGGTACTTTCAACCATCACCCTACCGTATAGAAACTCAACTAGAAAAGTGGAAGATGATGCTTCCCCCCAGGACGCATTGGCCCCAAAGATCGCTCGCAAAGATGCTGTATGCAGGCCAAATCAAAAAACTCACTTACTCTCTTTGCTTACACAAATCGAAGGCCAAAGCGTTCAATTGCCACTAGTAAAGTAGGCCGAGACAAATTGCCGAAAAAGAGCTTTACCTTCAAAAAGTTGGTTCGGGATTGGGGCTGACTCGCACCCAGAGAAGGTTGAATTTAATTTGCCCGCGGAAGTCTTGAGCCACAGAAGTCTCACTTCTCAGCTTCGCGCGTTGGGGCTGCTTGGGTCTAAGTTCACCAAGAGGCCCGCCACCTGGCGGCACCGCGAAGGCTTGAGCGAGCAACTTGCAACCAGCCGATCAAACCAGGGGCTTGCTGTGTTTCTGGTTGAAGGGAACCCTGACAAATGCCACTGAGGGGAACTCTTTTTCAGAGGAAGAAGGCCAAACCTGGACTGGGACTCCAGGGTTTGCTTCCCAATTAAACCAGGCAGTAGATTCACCTGATGAAACTGCCAGGGTTTTTGCGCGCACTGAGTTTCCCCTTGGCTTGCCTGGCCCTGGAAGAACTTCCTCGAGACCTGCGTGGGGCACAGCTGGACGTGCATTCGGAATCCGATGGGTGCCCTACATTGGAACCTAGAAGACCCTGGAAGGCCATGTTCCTTGGGCTTTCCAACCCCTGGGGATTGATGCGGGAGCCTTGGTATCCGTGGCAACTGCCAGGTGACTTGGGAAGAAGCTCTACTATCTTGCAAAGGAAGCCAACGCATCTTGGCTTGACTCTCTCTAACCATCTTGCTTGGTCATGGACAATTCACTCGCGCACAAAGAGACACCTATATATATATATACACATAGTGTAATTATCCCTCACATATGCATATCGCCGTGACAAGGCCCTCAACAGCTCAAGCTCATTTTCCTCTTGTGCTCGCAAGTCATTTCGCTCGCCGCTCGCGCTCTTCGCGAGTGGATCGACGTCCTTGCTCATCGCTCCGTGAGAACCCCATGGACACCATCGGAAGTCACCAGGACATGGGTCGATGCTTAGGGAACCCCCCAATGGCGAGCTTTTTGGTGTCCTATTTGTTTATCCTCTCAAAGGGGGTATCCTCAAAGGACATATAGGGTACCACCTTTTTGGGGGTTGTCATTTAAAGGGAGCCAGCGCTTCGCTTGTCAGTCCGGTGGTGCCCTATGCCATGCGTGTCTGAGCTGGCGCCAGTTCACGCTGCTCGGATTTGTACAGTTGCATGGACGTGGAGAAGCAATGTGCCAGGCTGAATTCAACAGGTTGGCAATGGGAGCAGAGAAGTGGGCAACCCAGATTTCGTTGATCTCAGTCCCAATCACCGTCCTTAGCCGCAAAGCTGCAACATGCTGTAACTCGTCTTGCTGTCGATCGATCCGTCTTTGGGATCTAGAAAAGTCGTCGCACCGGGCACCACTCACATCCACAGAAGGGCCGGGGTGACAAACGTCCCGATGAGAGCCCCCTAGCGCTTGGCACGAATGTGACACGTCTGGTGGCAAATAAGGGGTCACGTTGGGATAGCGACGGGCGCCAACGAATATCCCCATCTCCTCTGCGGATTTTGCTGTCTTTCAGTACCCCCCGGGCCACCATGATTCCGCCGGGTCTTTGACATTTAAACGATTACCCCAGCATAGACCCCAGATAGCAAAAACAGGCTATTGCACACCAGCACCTCTAACAGCACTCCCCGCCCCGAAGAGCGAAACAACCAGCACCAGAGCACACTCAATCTCGTCCGCACTCCTCCAACAGCACCCCAGCCAGCGTCCCTAAACAGCACCTGCGCCAGCACCCCAAAACTGCATGCCAAGCACCCTGCCATCGATCTTGCAAAACCCAACATCCCAAAGAAACAACTGTGCTAGCATCCCACTGGAGGCCACCTAGCACACCGCCGCTCTCGCACAAACGTGCTTGCGCCCGTCATCAGCCCCCCAAAAAAAGTCGTTCGCACCAGCACCCCAAACTGCATGCCCTCTAGCCCCTACGGTCAATCTTGCAAAACTGCGCCCGCACCGTCACCAGAACCACACACAGCTCCCCAAACGGCACACCCGAGCACACCAGCACCCCAACTGCATGCCCTCTAGCACCCAGCCGTCAATCTCGCAGATCACTTTCCCCTCTTTTTTAAAAGCTGGAACCCCTTATAGCTTTCAGCTAGCTGGGGAGAAACACAACAAATTGCTTCAGACTCACAGGTAAATGGTGAGATGTCCAATCTTTTCCCACCTATAACATGGAACTTTTCTGGTAAACAAGCTTGCGGCGGGCTCCATGTTCGGAATGTATGACGTGCAAGATATGGGTGTGTTTATGGTTGGACCCACCCCAAAATGGTAGTGGCGTTTGGTTTTGTTTAGAACAACCAAAAAGGAATGACCTCAACAAACGACACCCATATGAGGAAATCCATTTTGATGGATGTACGGTGAGCTCGCTCAAAATACTCAATGCACGCGCTGCAAGCGTGACAGAAAAACAATAAGAAGCAGCCAGCAATCTGCGTCACAACCAAAGGCAAGCCCGAAATGCCTGTGTGCGTGCGCTTGCGCGTGTGCATGTTCCCGCTCCGAAAGTAGTAGTCCTCCCCGCCTTAATAAAAAGTAAGCATGCAACATCATTTTCCTGCCTCGGAACTAGCAAAGCACACTTGCAATTATGCTCCTGCCTCGGAAATCATAAATCACAGCGTGTTTCTTTCTTGGCGTGCCTCCTGGTGTGTGTGTGTGTGTGCGTGTGTGGGTGTGGGTGTGGGTGTGGGGGTGTGTGGGTGTGTGGGTGTGTGGGTGTGTGGGTGTGTGGGTGTGTGGGTGTGTGGGTGCGTGGGTGTGTGGGTGTGTGGGTGTGTGGGTGTGTGGGTGTGTGGGTGTGTGTGTGTGGGCGTGGGCGTGGGCGTGGGCGTGGGCGTGTGCGTGTGCGTGTGCGTGCGCGTGTGCGTGTGCGTGTGCG